TGCGTTGAAAAACCAACGATGCGAGTTCAGTTTGCGAGAGTTCTTTTCTTTTAAGCAGAATATCAGCTGGCACGGAACGATGCCCTTTTCGGCACCCTTGAACTTCAGATCAGCGTCCAGCGAGACTTGAGTTGTATACTCGTACACGTGAGCCTGGACAGCACGGTTGTTAACAAAATTTTTTGCAATGCCATGTTGATAGACACCCATGGCGGCCAGGGCGTCGAGTGTTCGTGGGTGAATCTTTTCACGGCCGTCCGAGATGATGCACACAACAATCTTTTGCCATCCATTCTCACCCCACGTTCTTGAGCGTGACCGAGAACAAAAGTGTGAGATATTCTTCATCACAGCGTGCATTGTCCTGGTGAAGCAGATTTCGTCTTCGTTATACATGGTGATGCATATGAAGAGCTCTGTTTCTCGAGTAGTCCTGCCGATGGACTGTCGTAAATTGTATCCCCTCTCAACGAAATCATCTGGATCACACGTTACTGCTGTGTATCTCATGTGGGTAAACTCGACCTCGTTACGACGGGGAAGAAAGCTATACAAGATGGTGGGAATCTTGCACTCCAGAACCAATTCTCCGTTGATGAGCTGGACCTCCTTTTTGGACATTTGAGGGGCTCGCACTCCTCTCCGTTCCTGGGCACCGTCTGGAGCCGGGCCGTAATGCTCAACCTTGACATAATCCTCTGCATCCTCGTTCAGTGTCTCTTGAGAACCTGACATGAAAGAGTCACGGTGGGTCGGGAGAGGACGAGAATCGCTGAGATCAGTCTCTGGGCCAAAGACATCATCGCTACCGTCGAGAGGGATAGATACAGTCGCATCGTCGGCAAAAGCTTGCGAAGTGCGACCCGGGTTCGAGAAGAGCGGTGCCGGGGGTAAAGGGCGGCGCGGACTTCCTCCATATCGCGAAGACGGAGTTCCAGGCCTCGGGCTTCCATTGAGATCTGAAGGCTCGTAGGACACATTTGAGGGTGGCGGGCGTGAAAATTCGGACACTCTGGAAGACGGGGTCCAGGGCCGATGAGGGGAACTGGTTTCCCTGTGCGCAAAAGGCACGTAGCTTGAATCGGGAGGAGGCATGCTCGGGGCCTCATCTAGGACTGAGGCTGATCTGGAGTGCGACGAAACAACACTTGGCTGATATGATCGTCGGGTTGTTCGCGGTCTAAGATTCGCACGAGGTGAGCTTTTTCTGCTTGGGTGCATTGTAGTGTGGACGTGGCTAATTTCCTGGAAGACGGCAAAGGTGCCAAGTAGTCACAGATCTATCTCACCCAGCACAACGGCTCGAGACAATCGCTTGATCTTGCAGGAACTGTTTGGGGCAGGCTAGCGATGGATCTGGAGTGGTGGCGGATATACGGGGAGTGTTATCCAACGTGGTTTTGAAGAGGGAGAGCCTTGAGGCGGTGCAGATTCATGAGGGAAATCTCCAAGAGCACCAATTCACAGCGGGCGAAGTCGTGGTATGTACTTACGAGCTGTGGTCAAAGGGATCCTCGAAGGATGTCAATAGCCTAACGGCGGCAGGATTCTGGCCCGTAGGGGTATCATGTTCATCCTCATAGCTGGGTAGTGTGTATTCCGGAGGCCGCGAGGGGGTGTTTGGACGATCCATTTTCGTCAATGTGGGCAAGAGCGGATTGCAAATGCCTTGTTTGGAATGCGACTCTTGTCAGCAAGCCAGACAACAATGAGTGTGGGCACTTTGAGGTGTGCGACTTGGTTGAATTGAAAGAAGAAGAGAGAGAAAAAAGGCAATCGGATGCTCAGGATTCTTGAAAAGGAAACAGTCATGAATCAATCTGACCTGCAGAGCTGAAAGTGATGAGAGAACAGAGACGATTTTGTTTTGACAAGCCGCAATGAAGTCGACCGAGGCGCAAAAGGCAACGCGCGGCTGGTGCGAGTCGGGTCAAGTCAATAGTCGTAGTTCGGGGTGGGTGGCCGTTGGCCTAGCAACGGCGGCCGCACGCCATCAATTGACGCCACGAGCACACGTGCAAGTTGGGAGAGGAGAGCAGTCAAAGGAATCAGCAAATATCACGAATATTACCAAGTCCCGACTGGGAACCCGGTGCATCGCCTCGCATTGTCTCGAATTCAAATTGATCACCTGTGTAGACACCCAGTCCCGGCACTAGGAGCGTGTCCATTGCGGCCAATATGCTATTCGCTTCTTTGACGGTTTCCGTGGCATGGATTGATTATAGTTACATAAGCGGTCGCACCTAGGCCTAGTCTTGTCGGCCCGGCAGTCGACGAATTACATCAACTCCCGCCTCCCGTCCCCTTCGTCTCAAAGTCTATTCTTCTCCACGAGTGCAGGAAGCCTCAGAAGTTCACTACTCGATGGTACGCTAGACAGCAAGCCATGACACACCATGACACCACGACGCCCATGCAAATCATGCAGACAACCCTCGCATCGTCTTCTAGACACGCCGTGGAGTGGAATCAAGTATAGCCTCCTCTTCTCGTCGTGGTCCTGGGCAGTATGCATGCGGGTTGAAAGCACAATGTCCTCGTGCAATCTTTGCCTTGCCCAGGCCCTTTTTTACCCGTAGAATCTTGGAGCTCAAGTGTCTTTTCAAAAAATTCCTCCTTGTCCTCTCATCTCCATCGCAACGGTGGAAACTAAGATGCTGCCGACAAGCACTAAGATTCACACGGCACTACTTGGTGCTCTATACCTTGCAAATTGGTGTCTTGGACAGAATTCTTCTACTCAGTACGTTGGAGCCAATGTCCCATCTGGCACACCCATTGTTGGCAGCTATGGAGGGCAATATCGTCCTCAAGTGCACTTTTCGCCCCCCAGCCACTTCATGAATGACCCGAATGGCATGTTTCGGGACCAAAACGGCACATGGCACCTCTATTACCAGTACAACCCTACAAAGAGTGTTGCGGGAAACCAACATTGGGGACATGCGACCTCCCAAGATCTATACCACTGGACAAACCAACCAATTGCCCTGTTCCCCCCGAAGAAGAATGTATACATCTTTTCTGGAAGTACAGTCATTGACAAGAACAACACTTCTGGTCTCTTTGGCAACCAGTCCAATGGTGTTGTTGCCATTTATGTGAGTATCCTTGGCCCATGCGTATGTAAATTATCCAGATGTATACTAATTCAGCCGTAGACATTGGCCGAATATTTAGATGACGGCAGCCCCGGCCCCCAATCTCAGGCCATCGCCTACTCGTATGACAGTGGCTTCACCTTCACTCCGTATGACGGCAACCCTGTGATCCCCAGCAACTCCTCGCAGTTTCGCGATCCAAAGGTCATCTGGTACGAAGACCACTGGGTAATGGTGGTTGCTTACGCCCAGGAATTCGCAATTGGCATATTCACCTCGCCAGATCTGATCGAATGGACTCATGCCAGCAACTTCTCCAACCAAGGGCTTCTGGGTCTACAGTGGGAATGCCCAAACCTAGTGCGCATGCCGCTATACATGGAAGACGGACAAAGACAAGACGATGTGTGGACTATGCTAATCAGCATCAACCCAGGGGCACCGGTGGGTGGTTCTATTACAGAATACTACCCTGGAACTTTCAACGGGACCCATTTTGAAGCTATTGATTCAGTTGCCCGCATTGCCGACTTTGGCAAGGACAACTATGCCGGGCAGTTCTTTTTTGGTGTCCCAGACGACGAAGATCCTGTGTCGATTGCGTGGGCATCTAATTGGCAGTATACCCAGACTGTTCCGACCGCACAGGAGGGCTGGCGTAGTGCAATGAGTCTCCCTCGCCGGAATTGCTTGACAAGAATTGACCGTGTTGGCTGGAAACTGATAAGCAGCCCCTATGACATGCGGCCAATCATGGGGAGAAATCTAGCGTATAACCAGAGCCTCGGCAATGGAACCTTGACGATTGACTTTTCAGACACAGCCTCCAATGCGGTATATTGGGAGGTGGATGTGACTGGTTTACCAAAGCAAGGAATACCGGAAATGGCCACCTTGAATTTCACGTTTCTTAGTCCCATAACAGCAGAGTACATCAGAGGGGGGTATTACTTCGGCGGCGACAATCCGTTCTATTTTGACAGAGGCGGTGCAAAAGGCTTCGACAACGTCTTTTTCACCGACAAGCTATCTACAAATAGTTTGTTCCGTAACGGTAGCTGGTCGATGAGCGGGGTGATGGATCGGTCCATACTTGAATTATTTCTCAATGGCGGCGTAGACAGTGCTACAGCGACTTTCTTCGCCACACGACCGCTGACATGCTTGATCATCAGTGCGTCCAGTTTGCCTCATGGCACACGGGTGAGTGCTCGTGTCAATGCTCTAAAAAGTAGCTGGCAGCAAATGGAAGACCCAAGAGATGGCTTGGTGCACGGGAACATCTCCACGCGGGAAACGGCATCAGAGGCCATGAAGCACTTGCTGCAGTCCATGTGAATTGGATGTCTGTGTTTGCTGCGAAACAGAGAGAAACAGGCCAGAGCATGTCTTGAATTGTAGGCTACAAAACTACAAGAATGGCCATAGAAAACCGGATTCATCCATTTGGCGCTTTTAGCGCTACTCTACATGTTGCTGATGCATGGATGGGACGAAGCTTGCCAACATGCAAGTTCCATGCCTGATGCTCGGTAATGTTGAAAATACGTATTCACCTCTCACATATTTCCTGACTCGAAGAATCGCCATTGTTACTTTAAATAATACAGTAGCCAAAAGAAACTCTTAATGTCCATCCAAGTACGGCATGGCAGCTTTTTTAAGGACACATTGCCGGGGCTTATGTAGAACCTGCTTGCAAGCCCGTTCACAGACAGCAGGTGAGGGACCTGGCAGCTATGTGACCCATTGCTTACAAAGAACCAAAAAAAAAAAAAAAAAAAAAAAAAAAAAAAAAAAAAAAAAAAAAAAAAAAAAAAAAAAAAAAAAAAAAAAAAAAAAAAAAAAAAAGGGTAACCTGTTCGATAGTACACTACCTGAAACTCATGACCCATCTCATATCGGCCGCAAAAGATAGCACCAGTGGTATATGTCCGGATCAGTCGTCTTTATTTTCGGGGTTGGGATCTTGGCAATAGTCTCAACATGGAACGGCAGTTGATGGTTGTCAAAGCGTGATGCAGAAAAACTCAGTGATATCCACAACGCATCGTCTACTAAACGGCTTCTTACTCCCTGCGCCATTCGAAGCAAAGCGGCCTGGCCGCCACAGGATACGGCATCGACGGTGCCTTTATCAATCACCAGGTCAAATTTTTCATCACCTCTGTGACCAATCTCCGGCCCGACGTGGGCAAGCTGGGTGGCATCGGCTACTGTGTAATGCGTAACAACGTCACCAAATGTCTTTTTCTCGAGCTGCCGCCCCCTCTCGATGGCCAGTGGCTCATAATCAAGGTTGCAGACCTTGTGGAAGCCACGACTACGTAGATGGTTCTGTAAATCGCTCGTACCAGAGCCAAGGTTGAGGATATGTGCCGATGACGGGTCCAGGGCTTCCAGAAAAGGCTCTATAATAGATACGAACTCAGACGAGGAAATGAGCCATTCGAACGAGGTTTCGGACGCGAATCGATCGTGCCAATAGGTCTGCTTTTCGAAATCCGCTGGCATCGTAGCAACATTTACCGGTGGATGAGGAGCGGTCCAATGTAATGTACTGACTGGGCCAGTGGGCTTGGATCATCCAGCCGCGGTGGCAGCATGCACATTGAAAGCAAAGGGGTTATGAACTGCGACGATAAGGCACGATACGGGGGGGGGCGTATGGTAAGCGAGGATGATAATTCTCCTCTGTGTGTGAAACTTCCGAGACAAGGCTGAGTTAGCTACAGGATGCAGAGCAAACTGCCCGGTAGGGCAACTTGAATGTAAGGAAACTGTCGAATACAGAACTTTGGTTTCAACAGCTCCGCAGACATACCTAGGTGCTTGACAAGCTATCGGGTCAGGTCAGATCAGGCCAGGTGACTATGAGCTTCGTATTACTGACAGCATCACCTTTTCACCCTTAATTGTGAAGTTTTTGGTGGGTCTGTTGTCTGAAGTGTCTGGCATGGGCATCCCAGGTTAAGAGACAAAGGTGGTTGGCTCGGGGCAAGTCGGGCCGTCCAGTCAAGTCTGGTGCCTTGTGGCTGCCGAAGACTCGTGTGAAAAACATCAGAGTCCAATGCCAGCAGATGGCCAACGGAAGACATTATAATAGCTCCAAGTGTAGACCTACGTTATCCGCGAGATGAATGCACTTCGTGACGCGTATTTGCCGTGTCGATGTTGACTGGCGGCCCCAAAATAGAAACACTACCTGGGCACCTAGGTACTTAGGATGGACCTGCACAGCCTCCAGATGTCAGGAAGGACTAGGCACAGCCACGACAGCCTCTGGATTGGCATCAATCCAAGCAGCCAAGACAGGCACAGGAGACCTGGGCGTGCCTGACGTGTTGCAGACCGCGTGGCCCCTCAACCGCTGTCCATCCCAAGCCACACGCTTCAATGTGATTGCGACGCTGCCAGCCGCCAGCCAGCCGCCCGTCAAGAGGGTCAAATGGTCAAATGCGTCGACTCGGACATGAAACAAAACCTCCCTTGGCCCTCGAGTTATCGGACCTACCTACTCACTTACCGCAACGTTTTCTTCTGTCCTCGCTCACTCCACTTTCGTTATCTATCTATCTAGTTTTCCCCTTCGACTTTCATGTTGCCAGTTTTGCTACCAGGTTAAAAGTCAACGTTGAGTCTGTCTGTTGGAGTGTAACAAACAAGCCTGGCGTGAACCGACGTCCAACCAACCCCTCGCCCATCCGCTGGTTTTCGCGATAGGATCGCCAGCTAGACCGTTGTTGCTCGTCGACTTGAATTATTGGATTTCATCCAAGTGCCACCCCCGGCCATCCTTCCTCTCGCCATGGCGCCACCTATTCTTCTTGCCGCAATGATGCCTGCCGTCAGTCGTCATGTCGACGACAAACACCAACTTGTACATTCGCTGTCATCTCGGGACTTGCAGAATCCCACACATACACAGAAAGTTACACTGGGTGTCATCGCTGCCTATGTCGTAGCTATCGCTATTCTTTGGAATGTTCCGTATCTGAAAATGATACTCTGGCCATTCAAGGTAGGCTCCCAGTTCTGGTTAAGAATATAAATCTACAAAAAGAAGGATTCATTCATGTCATGATTCAGCTGGGATAGTCGGCTTGTGGCGTTGATCTACTTCAAAATTTTGTCCCTCCTCTTGTCTCGCCGCTAACATAGTCTCTTAGATGCTTGTTATCGCCTTTCATGAATTCGGTCACGCCATCACCGCGGTGTTGACGGGCGGGAAAGTCGAATCTATCAGCCTTGACCCCAACGAAGGTGGTGTCACTCGCATGCGAGGTGGCATAAGTGCCATCACTCTCCCCGCAGGTTACTTGGGCTCTTCCCTCATCGGCGCCCTTCTCACCTTTTGCGGTTTCAACATTGTCGCCTCCAAAGTTGCCAGCATCGTCCTCGCTGTCTGTTTCTTGTTGACGCTTTGGTGGGGAAAGCGCGACTGGCTAACCATTCTCACCATTGTCCTTGCTATCGGTCTCCTGGTTGCCTGCTGGTTCATTGTTCATGCCCAGGCCCTACGTTTCGTTGTCCTCTTCATTGGCGTCATGTCTTCACTATACAGTGTCTGGGACATTTGCGACGACCTTATCCTTCGCAAAGTAAACTCATCTGACGCCAGCGTTTTTGCAAAGCGATACGGGGGTTCTTCCCAGTGCTGGGGAGTCATTTGGTCCATCATTTCGATCCTCATCATGGCCGTTGGTATCGTTGCCGGCCTGGCTGCCTTTTCTCAGTCTTTCGAGCAACAGCAACAGGACTCGCAGCATTTCATTCCAACTTGATGGTGCTACATTCTGGCGAATTGCCACGATGTGATGCGCCATCTTTCTACTTTTGTTTGTATACTTGATTTTGGAGGAAAAAGAAAAATGTTTTGGGCTCCCTACTGCAATTAGCCTACTGTTGGAGTCAGGCGTATGTCCTCATTTTTGTCTTTTGATACGGGTTGGGAGCGGCGCGAGATACCCAAGTTGAGAGTTTTAACAGAGGCTTTCTCTCAAGTCAGAAAAAATGATTTCATGTTTATGGTATACTTGGCCACTACTGGTAAAGACTCGCTCTGGAGCGAAATGATGGCAACTGACGTATTTGTATGCGACATGGGCATTTTGCTACGGCTACGGCGGTGGGAGGAGCGTGAAGGTTAAATCCAGGTCCAATTCAAAATCCAATTCCCACTATTTGCGGGTAAAAATTATGTACAGAAGTCTTGGCCCATGTGTATACAACAAGATGATGGACAAGAACATTTGAGGATAGATACCATGTATGTGGTGAAGAATATATATTCCCACCCTACCCTGGGCACGGTGTATGCTTCTTCACCCCTGGGTATCATATGCCCGACCCATCCGGTTACTGTTGAGTCGGGATTTGTACATCTTGCTATGTCTGCGACATGGGCATTTTGCTACGGCTACGGCGGTGGGAGGAGCGTGAAGGTTAAATCCAGGTCCAATTCAAAATCCAATTCCCACTATTTGCGGGTAAAAATTATGTACAGAAGTCTTGGCCCATGTGTATACAACAAGATGATGGACAAGAACATTTGAGGATAGATACCATGTATGTGGTGAAGAATATATATTCCCACCCTACCCTGGGCACGGTGTATGCTTCTTCACCCCTGGGTATCATATGCCCGACCCATCCGGTTACTGTTGAGTCGGGATTTGTACATCTTGCAAGACGTTTTCAAATGGTGCAATTCGTAAAAAGAAAAAACACGCCGCTCCATTAGGCCAGGCCGATGACAACTTCACCGAGGAAGCCTTTATTCGCATAAAGCTGAGACATGTCCCACATCATAACACCGCCGAAGCTGGTGAACTTTTTGGAGTAGGCAATGACGGCCTTGAGCTTCTCTCAATTGGTGTAACCGCCACCTGCTCCTTTGTTGGCTGGGAGACCGAGCAAAAGCTTGACATTGGGGTTCTTGCTGCCCTTGGCCCACTTGTCCCAGACATCAAAGTTGAAGGCGTACTGGGTAGCAGATCCCGTCTGGAAGTTGGAAACGCCACACCAGTTGTTGTAAAACTGTATCATGACGAAGTCAAACGCAACAGCGTCAAGGGCAGAGCCGGCAGCAGCATCAGGGAAAACACACTGAGGAGCGGCCGTAAGGTAGAACTTCTTTCCACCAGCGCCGTCCATCAAGCTTCGCAGTTTGGCGCCAAAAGCTGGAAGGTTGTTGGTCGTCGACTCAAAGTCGAAATCGAAACCGTCTACGACAGCCGATCCAAAGGGCCGGTCAACCTTGCTGCCAGAGGGCACAGGCCCGAACATGTCCCAGACAGACTGTGCGGCATTCTCAGCGTCCCGGGTGCTGGACCAGCCGCCTTGGGAGTAGGTTGCGCCACCGAGTGACAAGACGATGGTCTTTTTGAACTTGGTCTGGCATGTCTTGATGTCTTGCCTGTACGAGGTTGCAAAAGGAATACCTGTTAGAGTAGCAATCTTTACATTGATAGAAAATGAACCAGTTTGGGCTTTGTTGAGAATGTCAACTTACTCAATCTCTGGGCACTTGAGAAGGTTTGAATTGCCGGGAAACTTGTCGCACTTGTCTCCGGCGTTGGCAAAGTTGGTAATGGGAGGAGAAATGCCATTCATGAAAGCAATCGGGATTATCTAGACATGTGGCATTAGAACTTGGGGTTGGCACACAAATGTCCGCGGCTACGGAAAAGCATCATGCGCAATGCTTACACCTATATCGCCATCTACACGCCGCAAAAGGAGCTTTAGTTGGGGCTTGAACGGGCCAAGTTTTGGCATGCGCAGAAAAAACTCACCTTGGCAGTAATGTGCCAGGTTCCGCTGGACATTGGGGCCGCTTCCCTGTCCAAAGGAGTTTTGGCCTGGGGAAATCTTGTAAGCGAAAGCCATCAAGGCCGAATACAGCTCCGTTGTGAGGACGTACCCCAATACACGGCAATGTTCTTGTGAGAGCCTCCATTGAAGCCAGCCAGGGCAGAGGGAAGCGCCGCCAGCAAGCTGGCTGCAGAGGCCAACGTCCAGAAATAAGAAGACATTTTGAACTCGTTTAAGTGCTCCCCGGGAGTAAGACGCTAGCCAGAGGTGTGTGAGAGAACAGACCAAGAGAATATTTGCTTATGATGGAGACGGTAAATCGACTAGAGGCGTGTGGCCTGGCAGTTATATATACTTGACAGCGAACATATGGCTGTATAAGAGACCTCTGTGAAGAGCATCAAGCAACTCGATTGTTACTTGGGAAGACATATACCAAAACACCCCTGAAGTGTACGCATGTGACGTTGGACGGTCCATTAAAGCATCTTTCTGCATGGCCCTCTGTACAAGGAATTAGGATGTAGACCGAGTTGTCCATCCCAGGAATAAGGCTGCCAATGCTACTTTGCAAGAAGGCAAGGATGTAGTGGTGATACAGTGAAGGATCACGGCTCGCCAAGAACTGCCAGGCTCAAAACCGTGACCGGTCTTGTATTCAAAGGGGCTAAAGTAACACAGACATTGTACTGGGCGCTCAACATGGTCACTTGGCGCAGAGCAGTGTATATCTGATGAGCTGCAGTGTTCAAGACTTCGACGGTGCAGACTTGATCTTTCTGGGTGTATAAGATGATTGCAATGTACAAAATGCAGGCTCTACTCCCCGTGCCTGGCGGACAGGCTGATCGTACAGCAGATTCAACACCCTCAAAGTGCAGGCGTACTCGGCACTCGACTCTGAGACACCAGGGATGTTCTTACACACCCAGCTCATGTGCTTGGATCATGGGTGTCGTCTTCGATGCAAGCAGCGAAGGCAGACTTACAAAACGGGAGACGGGAGGATTCACAGCTGAAGGAGGGTAAAATTCCTCCAGTCGTTTCACAGGATCTAGCCATGTACAGCTCGGGGGGGATTCCGACTGCGTTTCGGTGCCACGAGGTTGCAAGCCAGCTGTGGGCTTGTACACTCGCCGGCTTGATTTAGCCAGCCCATCCTAATTCACGGTCAACTTCCTACTTGAGTAGGTAGATGGGGCTTGTTAAGGGGTGAAGTCTATCCAGTATGGCTCCCTCTTGATATTTCGTGACGTTTCAAGTCTCCCGGCCTTGGTCTCGAGGGGGAAGCCGTGATTGGGCTAGAAATATGATTAGTTAAAGAGAAGAAGACCCGATTCACTGACGGGGTTACTAGTTGCCCACCTAGGCAGGTATGTAATGGCTCACTCCGTAGTTTCTCTGATATCGTCCTGCATTCATGTTCCCCGGCAAAGCAGCCTGGGTGCTGAATATTTTTACTGTCGCAATGAGTGAAGCTACGCTGCCGATGAGTCTAGCAAGCGCTGGTTTTTAGACGATTTCCGGTTCTGGTCTTGTTTGTGCCTGTGGCCAGAGGGGGCATCTTCCAAGATCCTTGTAGCGTCCAGATGTCAGCTGAGAACTGGCTCATGGACGGGCGCCGAAGCATGGCTGCCTGTTTGTTCGTCCCAGCTGTAACGTGGGAAAAGCAGAGTCATTGGCATAAGATGGTTTCAAGGCTCCGCCTCCCCTTCCATAAGCCGGCGTTTAGAGCACAAGTGCACATGATGGTGAAGTATTATTCTGGGGTTTGATTGATGGTGCACCAAGAGCCTGCATAAACTCGCTCATTGCAGGGTACCTGCCTGTAGGTACCTGACCGAGTACTCCGTGTCGACCGAGGGCGTTGTACTACCTAGGTACGTACTTCCAATAAGTGATGTGGGGCCAGATGCTTTTCTTCCCTGGGCATACATGCATGCGTGCCAATGGATGAATCCATGGCATGTCGTCGATTAGTTATTTGGCGTCACACGCGTGCCTTGGGAAATCCTTCTCTGCTGCCAAAGGCACATGCACACGACGGCGTAGATGAACATCTCAGGGGCTATTTGGCGGTCAGAGTCAACCTCTGCCCGTGCCTACGCAGTATGTATCATTTGTCTTCCTGTGGTGCCCAGTGTCTGGGTCTCTCTTTCCCTTTCCCTCATCTGATGACCAGTCATGGCAAAATGGCAAGGATGATGGAAGGCATCGTCTAATGTTCCGAAAACTCCATGTCAGGTGTTGGGGACATCCGGACCTTGCATGCTTCCCAGGTTCCCAAGCCGACCTCCAAACCCGTCCCTTGTTCACCCTTCCCCTGTCTGCAGTGATCGACGGCCCGACGAGCCTACTTGCGCCCGTCAAATCCTTCTCGAGGGTCCGTCTTGGAGGTTACGCCAGGGACTGCATCATCTCCAATGTCCCGTGCCCCACACCAAGGCTGATGGAAAAGGTAAAAGAGGGCAATAAAGGGTACCCTCAACCCGGATGTAATCCCCAATATCGACTATTCCGTTGTGACACACGCAGAAGCCGATATGCTCCACGGATAAGCAGCTCCGAATTAGCCCTATGTGGGAGTCGGCCTTCTGCTCGACCTTGGCGTTGACGGCTTCAACCTTGTAACGTTACTTTCAACAGACTGAAATCAGCCTTGAGAAAATTGCCTATTGTTCTTCTTTTGGTCATGCCCTCGAAAGGCTTTCGTCTGCGAACCAAGTTTTAAACCCACCATTGTGGCAGCCAAGAGAGGGTATCACAACGTCTTCGAATGACTCCCATTGAATCTTGGATTGGCTAGCTTGTTACTTTGACACGCAAGTGGACCGAGTGCAAAAACTCGACATGTCTCTTGATTTCTTTCTGTGGTATGGAGAAGTACATTAAGCTTTTTTTTTTTTTCCCTCTTTATAATTGGGTCGGGGCCTCCATGTGTAAATTAGACTTAATGAATTAAGGTGAGTGTGTGATAGGCCGTTTCAAGGTAAAATATTAGCAGCAGATGCCCGCAGTACCAACACAACAACCGGCCTCTGATTCATTTAGAAATCTGGCTTTAGATATTTGACAATTTGTATTGGGCCCATAGCTTTGCGCGGACTGGTAAGGTGCCACGCGTTGGGTTGCAACAGCAAGGACTTCATGGTCAGCTCATCCGCGTTAACTATCCATCCATTCCAGTAGGATGTCAAGCCGTATATATATACATTTCATTTTTTTTAAGAAGAAAAAAATGAAGAACGAAAAGGCAAATTATGAGTGATATCGTCTACAAACCTGTACACTTTCAAAGCCGCTCTTTGGCAGGCTCCTTTCAACCAGTCAACGCCATGTCCTTTTCCCTCCAACCCTTCCCGTCTGAAAACATGTAATCATCAGCTAAGAAACAGCAAGGCTCCCTCCGACTACCAACGTCCTCTGCGACCCCGTCCGCCACTGAAACCGCCTCGTCCCCCGCCTCCAGCTGACATGCCTTGCTCATAGCCATATCCTCCTTGATTACCGCTAAACCCGCCACCAAAGTTCTGTCCTTGGTTTCCCTGAGCTCCAGGACCTGCACCGCCATTCTGCATACCCGAAAACATGGCGCTCATTTGACTGGGGTCCATTTGAGATGGGTCCATGCCCGACGCCATCATCTGTTGCATCATCGCTTGCATCTCCGGAGGAATGCCATCCATACCTTGCATAGATGTTCCTCCCGCAGTCCCACTGCCTGGCATGCCCATGCCCCCCATCATCATCATGCTGTTGAAATCCTCCATCATCTTCTTGTTGTTTGATGCGAATGCGTCAGCCCCAAACTCTCCTCGAAGACTCTCTTGTTTCGCCGCATACAAGGCCCAGGTGAATTCATCGAAACCGTAGTTGAAGTAGTCGCTGATATCGGTACCTGGCTTTCTCCATGGCTTTTCGTTGTCAGGAAGATCTTGAATTGCATGTTAGTTGCACAGTTCTTTTTGAATCTACCGGGGGCAATACTAAAGCCAGACCTTCGTCAATGTTTACTTGTGTTATAGCCTTTCCGGCGGCGGGATACACTGGATTCGCGTTGATGTCAATCGTGGATTTGGACGCAGCTGCGGATGTCTGATCAGCGCTCGGTGCCGCGACATTTGCTACATTGCTCAGTGACTTTGGCTCGTCTTCCCGTTTTGTCGGGGCTGGCTTTGCTGGTGAATCGCCAGACGTCGACCGTTGGGGAATATTCCTGATATCGCTGTATTTGGATTGTCTGCATACACAAGAGTCAGCTGAGTTCGAACCGCGTCACTGAGGTAGTTACATTGGCTGGCGCTTACGTTGGAGGCGCTGCTGTAGTGCCGTCTTTTCTCTCCGTGATAATGTCAATGTCCTAGGAGAAGCTCTGTTAGCTCTCCTGTTGCGCGGATGGGTTCGATTTTTTTTTTTCGTACAGAATCATCTTCATCTTCGTCCATTGCACCACTCTCATCTTCCTCTTCTCCCTCCTCAAGCTCCTCGGTTTTTGAGACTGTGCGCTTCTTGTCGTGCTGTTCGACCTTGGGCTCCTCCGGCTCGTAGAGGTCGTCGTCGCCCTCGTCCATCTCCATCTCATGCTCGGACAAATCTGAGTTCATAAGGGGCAAACACCTCGAACAGCTTCACAGCTATGGAAGGAAAGACAAATTAGAGCTATGCAGGTTCAATTATATCGTTTGGGATGCTCTAGTCAAGCTTCAAGTGGAGAGTGTAGTGGGAACAGGTTCCCAGCTCTCGGTGAACCGACGTTTCTCCGCGTCGTCGTCGCGTTCCTGCGCCTGCAAACCGGCAAAATTCAATGGCCATCTCCAGTTGCGCCAGGCTCCACCCGTCGTCCCAGAGTCAAGGTCCCCATCCAAGCAACTTCGGTGTGAGACGCATTTCGCTGTTGACCACACCTCTCAGCGATATTCAATGTCTCTTGCACGGTCCGCCAGTGTGCCGGGTGGTCTCACGATCAATACGGGCGCCGCCAATTCCTTGTAAGCCTTCTGCGGCCTTGAACCCTCGGAGCCTTCGCCCGTTTGCCTGGTCCTATGCCATCTTCCTTTTTTTTATGGAGAGATCTTTTTGTCCTACGCTGGGCAGTAGTGTCTGCAGGGCTTGTTGAAGTTTTCCATTGCTGACAAGAGTTCCTCTAGAGGCACATCAACTACCCAGCCATCAGCGCCTACCGGGTTGTTTGGGTCCGGAAGCACGTCTGCTAACCCAGCAACTTCGACGACCGGCGGAATGGCGACCACTGGAAGTGTATTTGGAGGCGCACAGCAAAAGACGGGGACTGGCTTGTTCGGTTCCTCGACGACGACCGCTCAACCACCTAGCACTACCGGAGGATTGTTTGGAGGTGCTGCGAGCAATCAACAAACTCAACAAGCCGCCACGACTGGCGGTGGTGGACTGTTTGGTAGCGCGGCGACAGGCCAGCAACAGTCTAAGCCAGCCAGCGGAGGTCTTTTCGGCAGCAATCCTACCCCGACGCAACAACAACAACAACAACCACAACAGACAGGTGGCGGCCTTTTTGGCTCTGGAACAGCCAACGCTCAGTCTACTACCACCGGAGGTGGCCTCTTCCAACAGCCACAGGCAAACCCGTCAGGGGGTTTATTGTAAGTTATGTCATAATGCTGTTAGCGAGTTATCACGCTTACCAGAATTGTTTCGAAAACGCGTAGCGGCCAGTCACAACCCCAGCAAACTCCAGCAACAAGTCAAGTACCAGCAGTTCAAATCAACTATGATAATCTTCGGCCTCGGACAAGGTTTGATGATCTTGCCAAACCTGTTCAAGACGAAATAGCTCTCATAGACAAAGGAATCCAGCGTGTAATGAAGATGAAGGACGAGATTGGAGAATTCATGCCGCAACATGAGAAGGATATTGAACAACTAGGGAGAGATGTCAAGTTTGTGGAAACAAAGTTCAAGACGGTTCAAATTGCTCTCAACCAGGACATCCAAACTGTCAAAGTGTTGCAAGACATGACAAAGAAGAGCATAACAGATGCCCAACTCTCATTTAAGGCGACCGACAACCTCAAGCTACCCACGCATTATCATCAAACCGGCCTTTTTGCTGGACCAGCATCGTCCGCAGACTCCAATGGTACCGACGCAGCCTCTGCGCATGCTAACGCGCAGGATCTTATCACGTATTTCAACCGGATTTGCGATGACGTGGAAAAATACAAAAAGAGGCTGGATGAATATCGAGGTGAAATCGAGCGAGACATGCCCGGCGTGGAGAATGGGCTCTACGAGCAAATTCGAAGCCTACGAGACCGCAACGCTGCTGCTGGTGGTGCCGTCCAAGATCAGCTTGGACAGGTGCTGTCGGCACTGCGGGAGACGGGAAATGCAATTGTTGCACAGGCAGGGCAGATTGCTGATACTCGCGAGAGGCTTTCAAGATTACAGGCGGGCATACTCGACAGTGGTGTTTATGCCATAGGAATGGCTGGATGATGTTTGAAGGCGTGATCAAGGTTACGGAGAAATACGGACAGGAGAATAAACTTGTTGGCGCGGCGTTGTGAATGGTGTTGTGCTGCCGGCAAACATTGAGGTGGGACAAGATGGCGACTGCCCAGCGCCCAAGAGGCTTATTTCAACGACGGCGTTCTACGGCCGGCAGTACTGCATGTATGCGAGTAAGACCAGTCATGCATTCGGGACATTGTGCGAGTCTTGTGTTGTATTATGTTGTATTATGCAAAAAGGGAGAGGGAGCGCACAGCATTTGGAAGGCGCTCAACAACTCTTAGCATTTCGAAGGTTATCCCAGGTCGGGAGACGAAGACTTTTGGACATGCCGGATCCATAGATGGTAATGTGGTTTCAAAGAAGGATTAAATGGAGTCAGCCTGGCCCTCGCTACGTACCAAAATTAAATATGCTAATCACTATCCCTAAATTGCGCCGTTATCCTGATGTATGAAGTGTGAAAATGGGTATCTGTCCACCGATATAAATAAAGCACTGGGAGGCGGCAGAAGGCGTGGTGCTCATCTCCTCCCGCTTTTTAAACAAGGCCAAAGTAGACTGCTACGAGAATCGTAGCATGCTAATATGTCCCCTCACCATCGTCTCCTTCACCATAATCATCGCCCATCTCATCACCGTTGTCAAAATAATGCTCGGCATCATAGTCACCGGCATCTTCATCATCGTACACTTCATCTTCCTCATCTTCTTCCAGTCCTTCGTCGTCTTCTGCGTCTATCCCCTCGTCGCCCTCGTCCTCGCGCATGGCGTCGAGTTTCTCCAGGATATTCTTGCCGTTGCCGCGCGCAGCCTCTGCTTCCTCGCCGACGTCGCCATCTAATGATGGCATTCCAAACGCCTCTTCGGCGTTGGGCAAGGCGCTGACTTTGCTGAGTTCTAGTCTACGCTTTTTGCGCACGCCGACGCCGTCTTCGGGCTCGACAGTGTCTAGCAACTCTGCGGGAAACATTTCGCGGCACACGGGGCGGGCAGTCCAGTCGGGCAGGGCTCGCTCTTCACGAACAAATTTCTGGGAGTACGTCGGCATCGCGGTGAAGGGGTCAACCGAGGCCTTGTTTTTCACGCCGTACCGAGCGTTCATCTGCGCTTGGCCATACATCTTTCTTGGCGTGGTCGGGTCGTGAAGGGATGTCCGCTTGGAGGTATAGAGAGGTGATGAGTGTATCTGGTGTCGCAAAAGCAGGAAGTGCTGGACTGCGCTGACTTCGGCACTGGCTAAGTCTCGTGGCGTTGGAACAGTGTAGGGCTAGAGTATCAAAGGTTGGTTCGCGAAATGATCTTGGTTGCTCAGTGTTTTTGCATAAGGGACCATACCGGAAACAGTTCTGATGGTCTCGCGTCGGGCTCATCGCCAGTATCCCAGGGCACATTTGGACGTCCTCCGCCTCTTGCCCCTCCTCGGCCACCACGCCCGCCGCCTCGCCCGCCTCTCGACATTATGGTAGCGACAACAAAGGCGCGTTAATTTCTGTGGCGATGAAGCAGTAGTAGTGGTCGTATTGGTGATGCGAAAGCTACCGGACAGCAAGACTGCTTGTTTTCATGTTCTTGGATGGGGGAAATAAATGGTCAGTTACAGCTAAGCTTGACATGACAACCGAAAAAAAAAAAAAAGCTTGGAGTCGCATGCAGCAGACTGGTGGAGGCGGAATTGGGTCCGACCTCGTGGCCCCGCCTGCCTGCCTGGAGTCAACATCATGGATTCTGTATTCTCTCAGCACTCCAAATGTCACGCCCGAGTTCCAGCTTGTATGTTTGGCCCCTTTATCCAGGTCAAGCCAGTTGCTTTCAAATTTTTAAGCTTATTTTCTGAGGCTAATCGTTCCAAAGTTTCATATCACTAAGAAACTACGCACATCGGCACATTCCACCACGTTCAGTTTCGGACCACCTACGACACAGATGAGCGCAAGAACAGTGCCGGAATACAGCATGGACAATATCCCAATATCGGGTCTCCAAGAGTTGGAGACTCATCTGCAGCAGCTGCTTGGCGACCCTTCTCTGCCATTCAACGTGAAGCTTTTAGATGATGTCGAGCTTCAGCTCACCGGTATGTCTTGATGCCACCACGGCTCGTGACTGGAATATGAGGCGTATCATGACTGTTTCCTTCCGCTGACGATCTGAATATTAGAGGACAATATCCCTCACCTCCTGCCAGTCTTGCTGCCTCCTCTGACAGAAATTCTGAAATCAACGACGCAAGATCCAACACCGTTACTGTCCCTGACAATCAAGTTACTGTCGCCATTATCATTCACTCGGACTCTTACTATTGCTGATCCGCCATCGCTACTAACAGCTCTGAGCTCGCCACTGCCAGGAGCCAATTTGCTTGCACTGGCTATTATCCAAAAAGCTGCAAAATCGCCCTCAGATGCATCTATACTGAGTACGTTGCCTGAGATCGTCGAAATGCTTGTCAAGTCCTGGCTAGCCAGCACAGATGTAGGCGTTGGTGAGCGTGCAGCTAGAGTGCTCGGTGACCTGCTGGAGACAGACTGCGAGGCTGTCGACAATAATACACGTATTGCCGATTCCAGGGCTCAAATAAACGGAGACGAAATCATCAAGCGCCGTGTTCCAGGCCACGGCAGATTATGGCGCCTAATCCTGCTGAGCCGACCCAACCTCACCCTGATACAACAACTTTGCTCGCCCAACTCTGCATATCTGGGCCAACCACGTACTACGCACCAGGTGACTATCTCTCAGGGTCGCCTTCTAAGGCTTTTGCCACGCCTCTGCACTCTAAATATCGGTGCCTTGAGCCATCCTGTATTCCAAGATCTTTTTGCCTTGCCGGAAGAAATCAGTAGCCGAGTGGGTGGTGGACTGCTTCAATGGGCAGCTCTCGGCATGGTGGATAAGTCGGACACGTTGATGCACCTCAGTCTTGTCGACTTTTTTGAAACTTTCGTCAGCGTTATGCGAGTGTCAAGACGCTCTGCTGAAATGGATGCCTTTATACGCAAGCTCATGGCGACCGCGCTTGAGTGCGATAGCGAGCTGGAGGCTGCACTCAAGACGCTCCCAGACAGGACTATTGAAGACGAGGCGGAGCCTCTACGGGCATACATAACGGGGCTACTTAATTAATAAAAGGGCAGAATATTCATGGTATCGGAGCCACAGCAGTTGATTGACTAACGAAAATCATTCTCCCCTCCCCGTGAGATCTACCACTCGGGGGTTCACAAGGCAACTGGCCTTAGACAAGTCGGTCCTAAGCCATCATGCACTGTTCTCCTTGATAAGTCCTATTTGTTCTTCACTTAACATAATCTTCTAGATCCTGCCAAGTGTCCCTACACCACACAACGCCCTTAGCCAAGGCCTTGCAAGTTGGAGTAGACGCACTGCATTATACAAGCCGTGGCGGGCGAACAAACTCCCAATACTTCTGCTCGAGCACTAGTCTCTATCTGCATGACATGATGGAGATCGTGTAATGTCCAGCACGCATCACAGTAGCTAATTGAATTGACCCCTTCAACCATATGGAGTAGCCATGTGTCGGACTTGAAGAATTCAGCAGGCACGCAAAACTCGCGGCCGATCCCCGTCTCGCATTGCCATTGTAATCTTCAACAATACTTTCATTCACAAGTTTCGGCTATGACACATGACGTCTATTCACCAGTCGCTTATGTCTTGCACCCCATCCGCCCCAATGCATGAGCATCATGTTAGTCACCGGCAGCAACGAGAGCAGGTTATGTGATCGCAAAAATCTACTGCAAAGCAGCAGCCCACCTCTTCCGCTTGTCCGGGCTGCCGTAGCATGTCGTCCGGCGAAGAGGTTATGAAGCTAACGCCCGGCAGATGGCGTCGTTTCCCAAGCAAAGCAATTCAAATCACACTCGAAAGCAACTCTATTGCTGCTGCAGCGAGGACCATTGGGCAACGTCACAGCAAGCTGGATGGTAAGAGTGATGCAAAGGAAAAAATAAGTTTTCAACTGCTAGCTACAAACATGTCCAACCCGGTAGCGGTTCTCAATAACGGCGTCAAGCGAGAGATCATACATCCGCAGAAGCTAGGTAGTATCTACAGAGCCTCAAACGCCGCCTGGGTCAGCGTACATTGCGTACTGGACGCAGCTGTATCCTGTGTCAAATCATCGTTTACGAGATATAGGAATTTTTACCGAAAGAACCGGGTGCTGCAGTCCCCTGTGATGAAAAATTCAACGCCATGTTCGCGCAACTGGCAAGCTGAGTTAGATATGTGCTGCATCTATTGTGATCTATCGTGGAGAGAAGAGCCTCCACCATTGCAAGACAATCATAGGCACCGAAGTATGCATCCACGGATGACTAGCATACAAAATAGAAGTCATATTTTTCCATCTTCCACCACAACGCCGTGCCACCGTCATTCTACAAGCATCCGCTGTATCTCACAGCATCTTCATTGCGGATGCATCCTGCCCTGCGGCAACTTCTTCGACAGAGTCGCCTATGATACTTCCCCTCCTCTTTTGTCCAGCCTTGGTCAGGCCTTCAATACCAAGAGCGACTTCGCCTACACGCCTCAAAACGATAAGGAGGGCGCCCCGAAGGTCCTGACTGAGTTCCTTAGTCAGGAGTTCAACAGCTAAAGGGTAGAATTCTGGAATATGAGACTTGAAAGCATCCTCTGGAAATGTTGCATAACCTTCTAGCACATCAACGACAACGGGCCGCCACGCCATGATGTTCCTGTGCTGTGATTCTTCGGCCAAAGCCGAGTACCCTTGAATGATGTCTTTGCAAAGTGGTACCAAGGCAGCCTCAATATCAGGGCGGCTCTCCAATCTCTCTGGTGCGTTATCGGCGAACATTCTGAATAGAATAGATACGTACGTTGCCGCGGCGCCGCTCTCTTGTTTAAGCAGGTTGGGCGGCTGCTTCATGAAACCTTCTCTCCACAACTTCATGCGAAGCTCTTTATCTTCGTTGAAGCGGCGAGCAAATTGGAATGACCGTTTAAGCAAGGCCATCAAGCGCAACAGCTCAGTTGACGGAATATGAGTGTACACGGTGTCATTGCTGAAGAGTTCGTTGACTGTCTCAATCATCAATAGCTGCAGTACACAGCGTGAGATAATGCGATTAAAAAATCGACGTCTAGCTGCTGTCACAACCACAGGTTGCTGTTGTAAATTTGACGATGGCCTGAATTCCTCTAACGGCTGGCCGGCAATACCGCCTGGAGATTCCATGTCATCGTCTAGGGGCTTGGGCGACGGTTGGCGGGGGATAGGCTCGCCGTCGGAAACAGCGCCAGAGTCATCATTCGTGCCGTTGATCTTCAGAGACTTCTCATCAACCGAAGGCGTCTCTCCAGTAGGGCTTGGAGACCCGGAGAAGTCAAATCCATTAGAGGGCAAAGCCAGAGAAGCTGTGGTGCCCATGTTTGTCGCTGTAAACAACTGATATGCCGTCGTGCGCTCAAAAAGCTCGCAAAAGGCGCCGACTATCTTGGCCCAATGCTCTGGAGTGAACTTGGTGACATTTCTCAGAATCAGTTGCTGTAAGCAGTTGCTTCCAATACGAGATATTGTGTCATTTTCTTGGCAAATGCACAACGCTAGCAACTCCAAGAAGCGGTCAAGCATATACTCTAAGGACTCGAAGTAGTGGGTAAAAAGTGTTATCATGTTCCGAAGGGCTTGAATCATTGTTGTTGAAAGCCAAACCGAAAGCTCTTCATGGTTAAGCACATTCGTCATCTCTGGCCTTGATCTCAAGACCATGAAGATTGGATAAAGTTGCTGTCGCCACAGGATATCCCAAAACTCAGGTGTAAAGTCGCCGCCATACTTGATAAGAGCAGCAAAAAAGTATTCGAGGGCGTTCGATCGCACTTCCAAATCCTCTCCAGTCATGAGCACATCGTGAAATGCGAACAGGACCGGGAACCAGAAGCCCTCCTCGACTGATGTGTTCGGTGGCGTCCTCTTAGGGCCATCCGACGCCTTGTTCAGCGCGTCGGCATTTGTGTTGCCTTGCATAGACTTGTATTTTTGCGACAGTGGGCATTCGGGGGTCTTTAGCATCGTAGGAATGATGGATTTGAGTAGCTCCAACGCAGCGAGACTCTTCTTTTGAAACTTCAAGTTCTTGGAGAACTCGGTGAGACAGACAATTAGGTCAGTAAAGGCGCCTTGCGAAATCACAACGCCAAACTTGGTCTTGTAGACCTGATTGACATTTTCATAAGCAAGGTTCACAATACTCTCGTGAGGCTCTCTTGCAGCCACTGTGAATACTCCAAACATGGTTCTCCAACCAGATCGGATATTATCTCCTCGCGCTTGGATCATCTGGATAAGGCAGCGTAAAACTAGGTCCTTGACTGTGACATTATGGGAGTTGGCAAGTACGTGTTCAAATGGCTTCAGAAAATCTTTCTGGAACTTGAAGCCTGCCAGCTCCTCGATTTCCATAAATCTCATGGAGAGTTGTCGAAGCGAATCCAAAGCGAAGAAAACAATGTTCATGTTGTTGTGGCATCCAACCTGGTTGAAGTGTTCTCCAAGAACATCCCATATATTACTCCATTCAAACCGAACGCGGTTCATGTTGTAATAGCTGATTTCGACGATTTTCTGCAGGCTGTAGGTTCTAGGCGATTCGTTGGAACCAGACACCTTGATCTCGTCCCAGCTCACCTCGGTGAGAGCTTTCGCAAATTGCACCATAGCCTCACCAGAGAGGTTGGCGGTATTTGTGAAAATTCTATCGACACTGCGAATAAAGTCATCCGAACGGCTTTCCAAGGCAATTTCATGAGAGAATCCTCTTGGGCCCGTCCCAGATCTTTGCCTTGGTCTCTGTCTTGGATGCGCCGACAATCGTGAGTCTGAAGTGTCAGTCCTTGATGGTGGTATAAATCGAGCTTGAGAAACATCCGGAATGGTACTTTCGTCAACACCTCCAGTAATAAGTTGCAGTCGATCGAGTTGGCTGATGCACATAAGTATGTCTTTCCACGATTCTCTCAACAAATTTCCTTCGGTCTGGCCAAGATCCAAGATGACCTTGAGGGTCTCGATATTTTTGGCCTGCATATCCTGAGGATTGTTCAGATTCGTCGTATTCCTCAGAGCGGAAATGAAGGCTTCTCTCGGTGTCGACAGCTCAAAAAGGCATGCAATTCGAGTAGCTAGTTTCATGCCTTCTAAGCAAAGCTTATTCACCTCAATATTATGAGATTTTTGGATTTGGCTGGATAGCGCCGAGAAGAACGACATCCATGTTACATCGAACATTGACCCAACATGTTTGAATGATGTCGCCGGGATAAACTTGGGCTCCGCCTTGGCAGTATTCCGGCGCTGGCTCTTGAAGAGATTCTTGAATAATTGCTCTGAACGCAGAGAAATTTCCTCAGACTGTTGCACGTACGCCTCGCGTTGCAAGTCCCGGCCGACGTTGGAGAAAGCTTGGCCAATACCAGCCGCTAGGCCGCCTGCAGGATTGGCTGTGACCGTGCCGGCTGCTGCAGCAGCTTCACGCTCGCTTGTGAGTACAATTTCATTATTTGCGATTTCATCGTAGATGCCCAGAAGGTACTCGTCGGGTAAATCTGCATTGTCATTTATGCCCCGGTTGTTTTTGATGAATTCCTCCTTGCTCATGCGTTTGGCAATTTTGCTACTGTGCTGATCCGTGTTCAGCATGATGACAGAGTAGGCAAGAACATAAGCAGTGTCTGCATTCGCAAAAGCGTTGGGGTTTCCCATAACATAGCGTTCGGCAAACTTGAGCATAAATCGGTCGATCTTTTGAGCTTCGCCAGGCAGCCGGAACGACTGTAGAAATTGGCGCAGTGCATCGACAAAACGTTTCTTGGTAAAATCCATTGCATCAACGAATGCGTGCATGATGTCAATGTTCTCTTGGTCACCTTCTCCCAAGTACTCCCCAATTTGGGCCTTGTCAAGCTTATCCTCCTTTAGGAGGAAATTGGCAATATCTGTAGGGCTGTTGCTGTTGATAAATCCATCACGTAATAAAAGTTTGACACCTTTCTTAGGCTTAAAGTTAAACTGCCTGATAGCGTTTATCAACGCAGTTTTGCGCGCCTTCTCTTTTTCAAGCTGATCAGGATCATCGTCCACAACAGGAGTAGAAGGCGGTAGAGGAGTCTCGAGTCGAGACGCGCTATCGCTCAACGTAGGATCAATTGATGGTCGCAATTCATCAAGGGAGCCTTTGATATCTCCTTCTGGTCGAAGCATATCGCCACCGTCAGATCGCACTGAGGCTGACCAGTTAACCAGGGACCTGAGCGTTTCGACCAAAGCTTCAAGCGATAGCCGCTTCATGGCATATTCCTTCGGGTAGTCTGGTTCATTCTCCTGCGGGGGGATGATTTGAGCAACTGTTAACGGGGGTGGTAGAATGCCTTTCAACTGCCACTCGCTGGCGGGTGGTGTCTTGGCCCTCAACTCTTCATATACTTGTTCGTTGATTGTTGTAATTACGAGGGGTGTTGTGGAGAATTTGGAAAGATCCTCAACCATAGTTTGAAAGATGTTGTCTACAGTCTGGTCACAATCATAGTTGAGATACGTTTCGACCAGAGCCCTGGGGTCTGCACACAGCCGATTGAGTATCGTTACAAAGTAGAGCTTTTGTGACACCGGCGCGTTTCGTCGAGATAAGAGGGCAAGGTAGATTTCGTTGAGGAAGACCTCGATTTCTTTCTGTCTACAGCGTCAGAGAATGGCAGAAGGGATTAAGGCATGACGAATGCTGGCAGGAAACGTTATTTACCTTGAATGAGGACCTCATGTACTTGAGCATTAACCAAAAAATCTCGGCACAAACGTCAAAAATGCGGTCTACAGAACTTGCACCATTGCGGGTGATGCTGAGGCAAAGGTAGAACTTGATGGCCTGCAAGAATGATGTTGGCTCGTTGTTTTTGGAATTCTTTATGGTGCAAAGGGGCGACGTGAACACGGCGATGTTGTTGTTGAGTAAAGTATGAATGAGATGAAGAGAGATGAGTTTCGATCGCATTGGCTGTCCGCGCAGATCATACAACTGATCAGGGGGAAGAATTTTGGTTGACAAGTTACAGAATGACCGAAATACGAGGTAGGCATCTCGTATATATACTTCGTCCTCAGCATCTAGATCATCCATATCTTCCTGGGTCGATCCATCGGGTCCTGATGGACTAGAAGCTAACGAGTCATCTTTGTTGGCAGGTTTCAGTCTTGTGACCATTGTTGGCCCATCACCGAGCGTAGAATCATCAAAACTCTTCCGATGTTCGAGATCCTTCAATGTGAGCTTGACACCGCCGTTGGATTGTTCTAGAGTGCTGTAGTCCGACTGAGGTGCAGGCGACTCCTCGCCATTGGGACCCAGTTGTGTGCTACTTGCCAGATCGTTAGGATCAAATGTGATATTGCTCGAGCTATGCTTCAGATTGCCTAGGCTCAGTCTAGCCTCCTTCATGTGCAATCTTGTCCGCACACGTTCGAAGACTGTCCCAACCATCTGCGTCAATGTGCCTTGGGCAATCTGCTGATTTGCAGTGCTTCTTGACAACAGAAACACATTGTAGACCTGGCGGACAGCTTTGAGAAGACCTGCACCATGCACGACAATTTTGTCATTGAGAACAGCAGCAAGTAAGGACTTGACAATTTGAAGCTGAATCTCAACAGCCGTAGTTTCGCCCTGGAAACAGTCGCAAATTGTGTCGATGGCTCGCTCGATCAGGGGGGGTAGTTGCTCGCCGGATTCTTTGTTATCGGCATCCCCGACGTCTTCTTTGGTAGGTATTGAGAAATATGAATAGGATATCAGCTTGCCGATGCAATCGAGAGCAGCCGTCGTCAACTGCGAGTTGCTCGATTTTGTGGCTAGTTGCAAAGGAGCAAAGACGATTTCGGGGTCTGGAAGCTGATCTTGCTCCTTGATGGCATCGAGGGCCTTCTTTGCAGACTCGGCGAGCTGCTTGTTGCGCTGCGCATCTTTAGAAGTAGCGATGGCGTCCAAGGAGGACACCACAAACTTGAGAGAGCTCATCGGGGAGCGCGGGCGGAACCTGCGGCCATCCGAGAGAAGACGGGAGAGCTGATGTTGATAGAGCTATGAATAGCAATCAGCCGTAGCAGAGTCGAGGGACGGCTTCAATGCCCAGATGAGTTTGAGACTGCCAGATGATGCTTGACTAGCTGCCCCAAGAGCAGGTCCACGACACTGTGCAGCAGTTGGATTTTGGCCGACTAGACTCGGTGTCGTTGTCTGATATGCGACAACTTCGAGGCCCTGACGCGCGATATGCCAATGTGACGGCGTGAGGTAGGAGCCCCGAGGCCAAGCCAGCGAAGTGAATACGGTAGCGTGAGCTTGGAGGCAATAGACGGGTGCCAGGGGGCAGCTCGCGTATTTGACGCAAGAGCAATGCCGCACGGGTATAGAGTAGGAGTAGTAGATGGCGTAGCCGCACTTGAGCAGAGTGTCCCGAGGTATGGAGTAGTAATACCAGACGGAGTGCATGTTATACCAGACAAGGTGTTCAGTGGGAACTAGGAAACATTGAAATTGAAAGTGGAGAAGGACCCTCTATGTCCAGAGTCCGCACATGTCAACTGGTGCCGCCCAGACACGCACGGCGACATGAAGGTCCCCTGGGACATGCCAACTGTTCGGATGGCCGCCGCCGCGCCACAGGCCGAGCACCCACTGTAGTCGTACCAGACTCAAGTACGGAGTACTAAAGGAATTAACATTGAACTGGTAAACCAGCCACATCGCTGGCTGCACAGCCAACTGCTTATGTCAGGAGAACTCCAGTGGGACCAGGTCAGTCGAGTAAGACCACTCTCGTGGCAAAATGCAAAACGAGGTTTGCCAATACAATTTTCTTCCTCCAGCAAAATCATACAAATAAATCTCAATGCCTTTCACAGCATAAATTGGATGCCTTCAGCGTCCCAAATCCGTCCCGTCTGGCACGGTTGTTCTTCCAGGATGGATTGTTTCAGGGTCTGCGGCGCCGAGCGGATATCGGATCTCGAGATTATGACATGCGCACAGCTAACAGACCTGGGTTGGTAGGTAGTCGGCAGGTATCTAATAGCTCGGCTTCAGGACGTACTCCGTACATTTAAGCAGTCTATCATATAGTAGGTACCTGCCCAGTACATAGTAGGGCGGCAGTAGATGGGCTAGCTGTATGTTCTGTCCGGCACGAAAAAAAGGCTGGTTGAAGGAAAAGACAATATTTGAGGCACGTATAGACATGTGTGGGCGGTTATTCGTATCATTAAACACAGTCCACCGTGCACCGTCCGTAATAAAAAATGTAATAAAAATAAAAATAATAATTGCATACGAGGTTCGTCCAACAATCTGTTTTATTGTGTGGACCTCGAGATGGGTAGCGACCTAGCTACCTACGGTAGGCGTCAACGGTGTATTCGGACCGGCTAGGAAACTGCACATGTGGAAGTTTCAAGTGCTGCTGTCTTTCGGAGCAGTAGGTGCTGGCTGACCTACTCGCCTAATAAATACTATCTAGTACTTAGGGTGCCTAGTAGTCATATCCTTACCTACTTGAGTACCTCAGATAAGCACAACGATATGGCGGCATTTTTATCCTGCGCCTCCGATGGCACTGTGCTAGGAGTATCGTACGGAGTAGACAGTCGATAACATGCAAGACCTGGAGCACCTGCATGCCTACTTAAGTACCTACGTTGGCAAGTAAGGTACTTGAGTAGGTGCCTCGGTGATTACGCTCGCCTCGGTACCGAGAACGTACCTGCGCACTTCGTAGTTCCGACTTTGACATCACGAATCGCTGCCCTGAGCAACTGGTCCGCCAAAAGATATTGACAGACGTGTCGACATGACTTGAGCACCAAGCACTTGACTTCACCCAACCCACTGCAGAAAGGACTAAGGTGCCACCTTTTTGCCCCTCCCCTGTCCGGCAAGCCCAATCAAGCCGCCGTGCATCTGTCCATCTGTCTGAAATGCCATGCTTGGCTTCCTCCGAAAGCGGCTTAGGCCCCAAAGCTCCCAGCAAGCGACGGAGCTCAACGCAAAATTCTGGATGGCCTGGTCCAACCATGAACCCCAAGCATTTCTCCATCGCCTTTCAGAGACGCTCCCCGTCAACAATTCGCGCGCTGCCGCAACTCTCCCACATTCGGGCCTCTCAACCCTTTGCCTCTTTTCCAATTCGGCCTCAATTCGCTCCAACCCGACTCTCTTATCTCCCTTCCGCCTTCCAGGCCTGAGAGACCACAAATCCGGTGCTCCCAGCCTCGCCCCATAGACTCCAGACTCCAGGCCAGCAGCAGAGCTATTTTTCTTCCCAAGATGCTCAGCGCCGCCATTCGGAGGCGAATCCTCGCCCCAACTCACAATGCTCTCCGCACCGGCTTCGCCTCTCATATTGTGAGATACTATGCCTCTTTTCCCGACCACCAGGTTGTCAAGATGCCTGCCCTCTCTCCGACCATGCAGGCCGGCAATATTGGTTCTTGGCAGAAGAAGGCTGGCGATTCCATCGCCCCTGGTGATGTCCTGGTAGAGATTGAGACCGACAAGGCCCAGATGGACTTTGAATTCCAAGAGGAGGGTGTAATTGCCAAGATTCTGAAAGAATCCGGCGAGAAGGATGTCGCGGTTGGCAGCGTAAGTGTCTTGGTTAATGCGAGCACAAGATGCAACTCTTGGGTTCCATTCTTCCCCAGTCTACGTAGGGTGCTAATGTATGCTACGAATCTAGCCTATCGCCATCCTTGTTGAGGAGGGAACCGATATCTCAGCCTTCGAAAAGTTCACCCTGGAGGATGCCGGTGGCAATGCCCAGCCAGCTCAGCCTAAGCAGGAAGAAAAGTCCGAATCGCAACCCGCCCCGTCATCAGCCCCTGCGACCTCCGCCGAGCCAGAGCAATACTCATCCGAGGGCAAGCTTGAGACTGCTCTTGACCGTGAGCCCAACGTCGCCCCTGCCGCTAAACGACTTGCGCGCGAAAATGGTATCAGCCTGGACGGAGTCAAGGGGACCGGAAAGGGCGGCAAGATTACAGAGGAGGATGTAAAGAAGGCTATCAGCAGTCCCGCTGTAGCATCTCCTGCCGCCACATTCGAGGATATTCCCCTGAGTAACATGCGCAAGACCATCGCCAGCCGTCTTCAGGAGTCAGTCCAGAAGAACCCACACTTCTTTGTGACCAGCTCCCTCTCCGTCACCAAACTGCTGAAACTCCGACAGGCGTTGAACAGCTCTTCCGAGGGCAAGTACAAGCTCTCTGTCAATGACTTCCTTATCAAGGCTATTGCTGCGGCCAGCAAAAAGGTTCCTGCTGTCAACTCCAGCTGGCGAGAGGGATCCATCCGCCAGTTCAACACTGTTGACGTGTCCGTTGCTGTTTCCACCCCGACGGGCTTGATCACGCCAATTGTCACTGGCGTAGATGCCCGCGGCCTCGAATCCATTTCTGGGAAGGTCAAGGAGCTGGCTAAGAAAGCTCGCGACAACAAGCTCAAGCCTGAGGAATACCAGGGCGGTACCATCTCCATTTCCAACATGGGAATGAACGCTGCTGTCGATCACTTTACTGCTGTAATCAATCCCCCTCAAGCTGCTATTCTCGCCGTTGGTACCACCAAGAAGGTTGCCGTGCCCGTGGAGAACGAGGATGGCACCACCGGCGTCGAGTGGGATGACCAGATCACCGTCACTGCCAGCTTCGACCACAAGGTCGTTGATGGCGCTGTCGGTGCCGAGTGGATCCGTGAGTTCAAAAAGGTCATTGAGAACCCTCTTGAGCTGCTTCTATGAGCAGCTAGGCAGCAAATGTCAAGTGGAGCGATGAAGCGAAGATAGCCGGAGAGTTCAAGGGAAAGCATGCCTTATAGAATTAGCGAGGATCCGGAATGAAAATGGATCGAAAAGAGGTAAAGCATTGGTGAGAGTGTAACCATCCTTTGTCTGTGTCAAAGGGACGGTGGCAAGACTGGATGGCCGTGTACAATGACCCTTGATTAAAACTGTATTTCAGGTAGGGAGACTGTTTCCAGCTTGTACATGTACATTGGCTCATTATTCTCTCTCTCCTGTGCTGTAGGAAATCTATCTTATTTTGAATGTATTTTGATGGGTTCGGTTGTGAAATCAGTGCCGCTATCAATGGCAAATACTTTTTCTTGCTCGCGTGCCAACAAAATGGGTACCCCGGTTACAATATCATATCTGGGTGCCAATGAACCCTTGCCAGGTCTCAAGCTATCGCGGTAAAATATGGACAAAAGGCTGCGGTACAGCACAATCAATCTAGGCGACACGGACAGTGAAGAGCTGATGCAAGGTGGTGATGGATGTGAAAACGCCCAGACTACATCAACGCCCCTCATATCGATCAGCCCTGACGGAGACGGGCGGCCCCACGGCGACGGAAAGGGGCGCTAGTATTGACCGTCGTCACCCCCATGTACATATAAAAATGCCCTACCTAAGGTAGTTGCTGGCGCCGCCCGAACGTGATGCAGGAATCGAACACGACAGCAAGCGTGGATGTCGTGTGTGTTTCTATGCTAGCACTGGCTGGTCACAGTCATCCCGCTACCTTTAGAAGAGGGCAATGTTACCATTGAAACTATCTAGCGATCCCAGACAGCTCATGCTGGAGTTTTAGTGACGCATCCATCCAGCTGCGAATCTCAGAAGAAAGTCAGCAGCATTGGTGTAAGTGCTCCTTCGGTGAATTACCCCCTAACCAGCCAATGAGCGCTTCGGAAAGCTCGGGCATTTCGTCATCTGAGCCCGCATCTCTCTCGCAATTACACAACGGTTTACGTGTGTCCCAGCGTCAGCTCCAGATATGAAATTTCATATTTGACGCCGGTCTACTCCTTGCTCCCTTCTGTATTCACCGAACGCAGGACTTGATACCCCGATGTTGGATTCCTCGCAGGTTTACCGAATTAGATCGGCAGGCTTGTGCCACCCGAGAAATGTCGAACCAAGACCAAGCATCCTCCTCCAACAACGGAGATGCTGGTGCGCCCTGTGCACCGGCTGGCATTCCTGAAAAGAAACGGAGACGTCCTCCGCTTGCCTGTGAGCAGTGCAGAAGGCGAAAGATAAAGTGTGATAGGAACTCACCTTGTGGACACTGTACTCGGGCAAGAATTCCTGACTGCACGTACGCTCCCATCTACATCCCAGAGTCCAAGGCCCGGAGCAAATTATCTTCTAAGCTGCCGAGTACCAGGGCTGGCGGTGCAGCACAGAGGCCTGTGCTGCGAGCTCTATCTTCAGATGCAAAAACTCGGACAGGAGAAGGGTGCGAGGCTGTAAGCGATCCTCTTGGCCCGTCCAAGGCTCCATCCAGCGTCCCGAGTTCAAATGTCGGCTCAGCTTCTGACTCGTCCAACGTCGACTGGTTGGTTGCCAGAGTTCACGAACTCGAAGACAAGCTTGCCAATGCCGTTCATATCACCGAGCCCGGGGGCAATCCCTTCGTCTCAGGAAAAGGAGACTCGGTGGCTCCCCTGACTGGCATCATCTCCAAAACAAGATACTTCGGGAACAGCCACTGGATAAATGTTACTGACTTGGTACGCCTGCCTTTCTGGTTCTTATTTCCTGGTCACTTTGGATACTTCTGGCGCTAACGTTGGATTAACAGCTCCCAACAGAGTTCGCCTTGCTCGGCCGTGCTGAGGCAGACAAGGCTGATGTATACCACACGCTAGTCAAATGCAAAACCCTAGGCCGCAAAATTAAGAAGAATCGCCAGCGCCTCTGTCTTCTGAAAAACTTGGGGATATAATTCCGCTAAAAGAACTGGCCGATCAACTAGTAGAGAATTACCTGCGCACTTTTGAAGGTGTCTTGCGCATTCTTCATGTGCCAACCTTTCGCCTCGACTACGATAGATATTGGCAGAACCCCGGTGCCGCCAATATGTGTTTCGTGATGCAAATGCAACTCTGCCTGGCTCTCGGTGCCACTGTATACGATGAGATATTTTCCATGAGGGCCATGGCGATGCATTGGGTTTACGAGGCCCAGCTATGGCTGATGCTCCCCCCAGAGAAGAGCAAAATGACGATTTCCGGCATACAAACCCTATGTCTCTTAGTACTGGCCAAGTCCTGTTGTGGCGTAGGCCAAGACCTCACTTGGATAACGATGGGCAGTCTTGTAAGAATGGCCATGTACATGGGTCTTCATCGAGACCCAAAACATCTTGGGAAGATGACTGTTTGCAGGGCCGAGATTCGCCGGCGCCTATGGGCCACGGTTTTGGAGCTGAACTTGCAGTGTGCGTTTGAGGCCGGTGGTTCTCCGCTGCTTCATGCCACAGACTATGATACTGAACCTCCTGCCAACTTGAACGATGATCAGCTGGTCGACGAAAACGATGGCGAGACACCTCTAGGACACCCATCTGACACACCGACCGCGACATCGGTCCAGCTTGCCATCCTCAAGTCGCTCCCGCTGCGGCTCAATCTTATCAGGCTTGTCAACGACTTTCGCGCGTCACGCCCATATGACGAGATACTGCGATTAAACTCGGAACTGACAAAGGCCTGTCGAGAGCTGTCACACAAGCTATCCTGCCTGCAGACGAAAGATGCCGGCTCAAGAGGTCCGACAATCAACTACTTCCACGTCTCGGTGGCGGAGCTCTTCCTTTATCGGTTTTTCCATGCGCTTCATCAAACCGCCATCGCAAAGTCATTCAACGATCATAGATTTTATTTCTCTCGAAGAATGTGCCTGGACAGCGCACTCAAACTTCTCAGCCTCTGGGGCCTGTCGGGAAGGCCGTTGAACACACAGGCCGAGGGTCAAGTGGACTTTATGCGAATCGTGGATAATGGCACTGGGCTTTTCCGTTACATCGCTGTGCAGTCACTATTCTTCGTCGCCGTAGAGCTCATTCATCAGAAAAAGGGCCATTCGGTCAGCCTCGGGTATCTTCCTTCCATTGGCGACTCGGACCTGCGAGCCTGTTTGGAGTCTGCAAAGTCCTGGTCTTTGGAGCGGGTTCGGGCGGGGGAGACCAACGGGAAGGGTCACTGCTTTTTGGCAGCGTGCCTGGGCCATATTGATGCTCTCACTTCAGGCTTGTCTCGGGAAGAGGTGGACATGGCGATTCTGCGAGGGGCGACGGAATCAGCAAACAGCTGCTTGGTAGCTCTTACCGAGGTGGCCGAGAGAGAGGGAGTGCCATCCGAGGAGTCGACGCCCGAACCAACGGAAATGGACGGCGTCACCAACATGCCACTCGAGTGGATGGGTGATTGGGCGTGGGATGACATGAGCGGCATATCATGGGAACAATGGTCCCAGAACACGTTTGGCCGCGGCATGGAGCAGAGTCTTCCTGGACACTTTTAGCTTTAGCGGGAGCAGTTAATTGCCAGGGACAAGCTAGCTGGTGTATTTGGAACGAGGGAGGCTCAAGTAATTGGCGGTGCAATTCGCAGGCGATGCTCCGCTTGCCACCCGCGTCGTGTATTATTATCATCAGTACGGAGTAGTTGTATTATTATATGTAAGTATTCCCTACATTTGTACGTGGCTGTCAACGATGCAGGGCAAAGAGGATCCTCCTCAACGCAACTCACTGTAGCAACAGTACAACATTTCACTGCTATAAAGAAGCGCTTGACATCGGCTATCAGAATGTTCTTTACGAATTTGGCGTCTTGCATATCGCGCAGGCTACCATTGCATTGGCATTGCATTGGCGCCTCTTCCGGCCCATCTTCTCTTTCTTGTCGCTGCCGCATCCCCTCGAGCAATATACGAAGCTAGACACCGTTTCTTTTTTTTTTTCTTTAAAAGAAAAAATCTGCATGTCTGTACTGAGACATCAATTGGTATGGGCCGACCGTTCCCTCAAAAAGCACAAACTGACAGTGCGTGTCGTGCCTTTCCAGATGCAAAATAATACGTCAATCCTTGTTGTCGTGAACGGCGGACGGTGCACCACGACACGGTTTTGTTTCACCAGACCATGCCTGGTGGAATTGAAGAAACGCAGGTTGTCCAGCGTAGGCCGGCCCTCTCTCCCCATCATCCCTCCCCTTCCCACAAAGGTCCAACAGGATATAGACAAGACGTTCTGCAATATAGCAACAAGCGCACTCCGTGCTCTGCCCACAATGACCCGCGTCACCACAGTTGTCCTGGCCATCTGGGCTCTTACCACCGACGCTGTCCAGCCAAGCGCGGCGCAAAAGGGATGCACGACAACCACGACGACGACATATTTTCGCCAGTCAACATCGCCGTACTGGCCCCAATGCTCGTTTGACGGCACGCTGCGCATCTACAGCTCCACAGTCACAATGAATGAAGCCGTCGACTGCCACGGATGCGCTTACATCCGGGCTGCCTCTGAGCCCAATGTGCACTGCCCTGCCAAAATCATCGAGGCGACCGAGACGGAAAGCACACCATATACGGCTCACAGGACGGTTTGCGCTGCATCTACAAGCCACCAAGTCGTTTCAAGACTAAATAAGAGGCACGGGGAAGGGGAAGGCGATGAAGAAGTGTCTGCAATCACGCCATGATTTCACGACGGGATCGACTAAGCGAGTACTGGCCACAAAGGAGGGGAAAAGATGGACTCGAAGAAATGGGGTATAATCACATGTATTCATATAGTTTATGACAAGGGATGCGTCTGCTCATTCATTTCGTTTCCTCCATTTTCCCTTTTTTTCTTTTTTAGAAATAGAAAAAACGGGCGAGGTTTGATTGATTTGACACTTCATGCCTAGTCCCTAGTCCTCTCGTCCTAGAAAACGCCGCCTCTCACCAAAACGTCCCATCTATGCGTTCTGAACCTGGACCTGACCATCTGGCATGCCAAAGTAGGCGGCCACGGGTTTTTGGGCCTGCAATTCCTTGCCGAGGCCAGCAGCCTGGTTGCCGTTGAAGCCGTGGAACAGGCCTATCTCGACGATACCGGGGATCTTGAGCAGTTCGTCGGCCAGCGTCTGAACCTCCCAGGAGCCGTTTTTGCCCTTTCCATTCTCCGTAGAAGTCAGATCTTTGGGAAGCAGCAAGGGCGAGAAGGGCGCGTCGATGATCCACATGCCATTATCTGTGACACACTCGCCAGCCTTGCTGGGAAGGCCTGATCGGACCGCAGGGTTAGGTGAGCCCATGGCGCGCAGGCGGGTGAGAACGTCGGGCGCGGCAAGTGGGAGAACCTCGATGGGGATGGTCTTCCACTTGGTACAAAGCCGTGGCGACTGCTTTCGAGAGTCTGGCAAATGCGGTAAGGAATTTGGAACGAAGGGGGGGCAAATGTGTCGTAGACGACAGGTTGCACTCACCAGCAACGGCTACAAACTTCTTGGCAGCGATGGCAACGAGCTTCTCCTGGAACAGGCACGCGCCACCCCCCTTGATCAGGTTCAGATCTTGGTCGACTTCATCGGCGCCGTCAAAGGCGACGTCCAGAGCCACGGGGGTGCCATTGACGAGAGGTCGCTCATCGACGTAGCACAAGTTCAGGCCAGCCTTCCTGATCAGACCCTTTGACTGGCTGCCGGTAGGCACAAAGGTCATGCCAGAGTAGAATTCGGGGCCCTTGCTCACGATGGCGTCGACCACGTAGACGACGGTACTGCCGGAACCGATGCCGACGAACTTGTAAGTGGGGAGGAGGTGGTCCTCAACGGCGCGGTAGGCAGCGAGCTTCTTGGAAGACTCGACAAGATCAGGAGCTGAAGACATGGCTGCTCTCGCGGCACGAAAGGGATTGCCAGCTATAGGTTGCGGCAGAGAAGCAGACGGGGAGAAGGCGGTTGAAGCTCGAGCTTGACGTGATGGCGGGGCTGGAGGAGACTTGGTCCAGTTTGTCAGGGTCCTGTCAGCAAAGCTCGTCTTGGTCGTCAATGCTCTTCTACTCCGGGCTATGATTGATGCGGCTACTGCGGTCTGTGCAATCAATTGGCGAAACTGCGCCCCTGGCGACGCAGAAAATATGCAGAAACCAGATGTTGCCATGTGTTTGATCAGGTGCCGTCGCATCGAGGCGCTTGACGTGGCGAGCAAGCGAGTGATTTTGCATGTGGAGACGGCATCGTCACTTGTGGACATTGACTCGGTCGAAGATCTCGAGGCATTGGTTTTGTAAAGACGACCATGGAACTAAATCTCAGTTGCATACTCTCTACGGCGGTTTCTGAGGATGGGAGCAAGACAATTCTTGTCTCATCTTGTTCGGCTGCCGCCAATTCGGTACATGGCACCAATATTCGAGGTAGCTCTTTGATTGTCTGTCGACGTCACTCGCAGGCCAGATTCCCCACCAACCGCTCCATCGGCTTCCGGGTCACTGGGCAGTGGGCACTTGCGTGCAGTTTGGTGTGTGGATTTGTGCATCCAGTGCACATTTCACATGCGCACGGTAAACCCTCATCCGCAATGTGCAATCAGATGCAATAAGCGTGCACTAATAATGCCAATGGTACTAACCATAGCCAACAGGGCGCGCAGCTTATTCGTGTTGTAACGGGAAATTATACTCGGTCAATCATCTTATTATCCTCGATCCAGAATGCTGACTGTAGCGAACCAAACGGATCATTTGTTTGTCTTGCGGTGTGAAAGAAAAAAAGCCTACTCTTATGCATCACCAGGTCATCTACCGCTTTGTGCATCGTACAGCTACACAACCCTATTATATGCAGGTTCATCCCAATTCGTATCTGACATCTCTTCCGACTTCCGGTGGCCCCATTGCTTCGTCGCCCTGCTTCATCTCTGCATCTCTCTGGGATCCCACGGAAAATGCAACTACCAAGTGTGTACAATGTTATATCGGCATGCCTCACGCGCGGAAACGGCAGCCATTGTGTAGCATCTTGGTATGAGGTAAGCTGGCGGCATGATAAGATAACTTCAGTAGCCGAGTAGAAAAGCCTAATAAGCTGCCGACTAGTCTTATAGTTGCTAATAAGGTTGGTCACGGTCACCAAAACACTCCCTTGGCGATTCTATTGACGCATTTCCTAACTTGGGAGAGGCTGGTCCTTGACTCCTCTCCCGAGATGCTACGTGGGCACATACGTGCCGTCTTCCGTTCTGACTGCAGATTTTGCCTCTCACGATGCCGTTCTAGGTTTCCTAGGCTCCAACGTTGCCAGTTTAGACTCCATTTCTAGCTCCCGTGGCGAGACCGGCTGCATGTACTCCTGCAGTCAAATCTAGAGTCGTCTTCGTCTTGCCCCAAGTCCATTGCAATCCGCGCAGAGCCGAACACTTGCTAGCTTTGAGCTATAATGCACATCCAAAGTTTTCTCCCGATGGTTTCCACCTACAGGTAAACCTCTCTCTCTCTCTGTCTTTCTCTCTGTTTCTCTGCTGCAAAATTCTATATAAACACTAGCAGCTCGCCGCCCATAAGTCTGGCAAACACTCCATTCTTCACTCTCCAGGTTCACCATATATACCTTCACATACATTTACATCACATCATCTTCCTCTTCGCCAAACAAACAGTCGATATGCGCACTCCTCAGCTTCTTGCACTGGCCGTGGCATTGGCCACTTCGACCATGGCCAACCCGGTTCCCAACCCGGCTGCCGCTGATGAACCTGCGTGCACCACAACCATGATCATGGGTCCAAAATGGACATCCGGCCCTACTAGAACCGTTTGGACCTCGACTACCACTGCCACATCGGAAGTTGACTGTGGCGGCTGCAACGACGTCACGCAGTCTACCTTGTTCTTGGGAGTAGGTCCCGTCGTCGAATTCACCACGACCACTACCATGGCAGAACCAAGCACCACTACCGCGTACGCGTGCGCAGCGTCCGCTGCGAATCAATAAAATGCCATCATCAAGGGGCCGGAAGCGACTCCTGCCCCATCAGCTATTGAAGCTTTGCCGGAACGAAGAAGTGAGTTGTTGGTGGCGGTGGATGGCATGATATCATTTGGTAATTTGGTACTACGGTTACTAAGAGGGGGAAAGAAGAGTCCGAGGAGCACACATTCATACTTTTGTCCAACAGACTATGTAATGGAAATTTCGTTTTGGCTTTCGCTCTGTATACTCGTTCCGCCGTGACAAGTGACCAAGCCTTTAGCAATGGTACACACGCCCACTGTTGCCTCTCTTCTTCCCCCGTCTATATGCCTTCGCCATCATGGCCACGAGGCGAAGAACTCTTTGCCAGCAAATTTCTCGTAACATCCAGCCGCCAAATCGAAGGCCCGTAGTCGTCATCCCCCCGCCGATGCGTCTCAACCATGGTCTTGATATTGCCCTTTATCTCCTTGTTCGATGTCAGCGTGACATTGCCACTGGCCCATCCATACATGAAGATGGAGAGCTTGCTGCTCTTGAAGCCGCTGTGGCGAGCGACGTCGATGGCCATTGCCGGGAGCCGCGAGCTGCTAGCTGCTTGTTCAATTTCAGGCCAGGTCCAGCATTCGTCGACAACCCTTATGGGGATCTGGACTGTACTTGGCAGAGCATGTGTCGAAAGCTCCTCGAACCGCGATCGAAGAGCAGCCTCTGGCTGATCTCTATAAAATTTGACAAATGGCACGAGAAGGTTTCCCCTTTCTTTCTCTGAGCTTGTCCCCACGGTGGCAAGGACGTCGTGAAAATGCTCAGCGGCCTCTCTCGTACACACCAGCGTCCTGTTCTCAATAATTGGGTACAGTGCTTTCACCATGGCGCCATCATGTTCCACCTCCTCTTCTATCTGCGCTCTTGTCGTCTCTTCCTGCCACGGTTTAGGCTCCAGGCGGAAATGTGTAATGTCCGAAATCAAATCAATCAGAATCGTGTGGTCCATGTTCAACGTCTCTGTAAGTCCGTCAAGCTCGTGGCCCAGTAAATTTCTGATGGCAACATGCAGTCCAGGGGGTGGTGTTTTTAAGAATTCGCCGTCTCGGCCCTCGATGATGATTTCAACTCTGGGGTCGATCAGACCAAGTTGTTCCAAAAGCACATTGATATCGTCGTTCTCTTTGCCAATATTGGGCATGACTATCCTGAGTCGCGGGATCCGGTACTCGTGGCGGTTTATCCTTGCCGCCGCAATGAGTCGCTTGACTTGTTTCGCGAGCATGACGTCCTCCCATTCCTGCTCGTCGACGGCATCCCCAACATTATGCTCCCCCCATCCCCATCCACTGTCTGTCATTTGTCTCGCCAGTCGATCTGGCTGAAGTGTATGAACGACAAGCCACTCCGCGCCGCCTTGGACAACATGCGCCTCAACTTTGGCCTGTGCCTTGATGGTTCGATGTGCTACTTCTTTCTCGCGCCCAGTCAAGCACATCTTTGCCACTTCTTTTTTCCGCGTGTCCCTGTCAGATCCCTGAAAAGCTTGGTTGATAGAAACGAGGGAACGGCATCTTTTCAGCACGCTCCAGTGTAGTGAGCCATGGGATATGTTGACAGCGCAGATTTCCAGCTTTCTCCCAAATTGTCGAAGCGCGTCGTCTGGAAGCTTGGAACGCAGCGAGTCTTGAACCATGTCCTCCAGGATTGCTTGGTCCTTTCTCAACTGGCGCAAAAACACGGTCAGTCCTGGACATGATGAATTTTTTGGGCGGGCGTGAAGCGTGTTGCTGAACTCTTCGATTTCGGGGATATAGTTATGAGACGCTGACAAGGTTGTCGTTGCCACCTCGAGCAGGCGACTTTGCAGATGTATGCTTGCATTGCTGGCATTTTCGACGCTCTGGATTCCATCGTGGGACGCCAATCTTTCTTTGCTACTCGCAGTCATGGCTTGGTTCCGTGATTGGCTTTCGTCTTTAGGATGAGTTTGCTGGAGTGCACAAAGAAAATACCATATTTCGAGCTAATTTTTTTTTCTTTTTTTTTTTTGAATTATGGCTGCACCTTGCCGTCCAACTCTGCCTCTGTCCCCGTCACTGGTGCATTTCAATCAGCTTCGCAAGGCTATACTTGCCGACTTTGATGCCCCAGCCATCCGTCATTTTGGGTTGTCAAAGATTGTCTGGTCGTCGTGACGTGACTTGCTCGGTTGCCGCAGTCGACCCACATTTCCCGCGCTCCAATGAGTCCAATCTTGCGGACTCGCCTGATGATGCTCAATACTCGATCTAAAACCAGACCTTTTCTTCGGCCGGCGTAGCCACGAGACAACATGGTCTGACGTCAAAATATTGCCCACGCATCACATTCGAGGCTGACATGAGAGGAGCCAGCCAAGTGGTGTTCACTGTTATGCCTGCGAAGTTTCGATGCCCATGGTTGAGCTGGAGTTGGGCTGCTGTTTCAGTGCCTGAGCTTATCCCATGTCAACGTGTGGTTTCCGTCAGGACTTACGCCAAATGTCAAAATATTACAGGCAGCTCATTAAGAATAGACTGCCATTTCTCAGCTCTGCTGCCCGAGCCTGCAACGGAGAGACTCCGAGAGCCAATTTGACAAGACTCTCTCAGACACGCATGTAAGGCGCAGTCGAGTTTGTCAGCTGGACTCCCAACGCATTGCATCAACAAGCCAATGTGTTGCTCGCTCTGGTGTGTATTCATCCAGTTGGCTGTGTGTCATGTGTGTTTCACTTTGTAATCCAACCGGCATACTATCACTCATGCAGTCATAGGCTCCATAGCCCCCTTAGAGGCCTTTATTATTCTCGGGATTCAGCCAAAACATTTTGAGATGTGCGTCCTTGGACAACAGTGCGCTACCATACCTCAGGGGTCGCACAGGCTGCCCGGGATATTTTGGCATACAGGTCCTCACGGGGCTTCACACGGCAGCTCACGAGTTGGAACGTTGTCTCCGGCGATAGCCCAATCTTGGAAGCTGCTAGAACGGGCTCGTTCACTGATGTGATGGCGCTCATCTCGTCTGGCGATGTGTACTTGTACGACCGAGATGACAACGGCAAGACGTTGCTTCATGTACGTCTGAAAAGACGAAAACCCAACCGCACCTCGGCACTCAATTAACGTGTTTGCAGTATGCAGTGTATTGCCGGAACTTTGACACGGCTATAAAGCTCATAAAAACGGGCCACCCAGTCATGGAAACAGACAATCTCGGGTTGTTTCCGTGCACAGCGCCATCTTCGTCTCTGAAAACAGACACAGCCAAGTCTCCCGAGCTCCTTTCCATGGTGATGAGTAGAGGAGACTTTAGCAACTTACTCGAAGGCTTAATTGACGAATCCTCCACAGTCGCAGTTTTCAAGCCAAGCCAGTTTGATCGGCTTATCTGGGTTATCCCTGGGTTCTTGGAGTTGATTGATAATGGCTTGTTTTGGAATTTCAGTCAACTGCCGCTGTCATCTAAATTCAGGACGTTTGGCTGATCCGTGGTTCGTGCAGACACCCTGGACTCCATTCTGTCTCGTTACTTTGTAACGTTGAAGGACGCAAGGCAGACCTTGGACTATTCGTTTGGCCACTCGTTGCACGAGTTGGCCGCACAGTAACTCAGCCAGCCCAACTTCCGAAAAACATTGTCACGTTCATGGCCTGCTAGGGTGCATGACGGCGAGAACAACAGCGACACAGCAGTCAAGAACGCCCAGCTCTGGAAAGGTTACGCGTCCAGCCTCGTCTCCGCCGTGGAATTTGACTATCTTGTGAAGGAGCGGGAGTTTAGCCTTCTTGGACGCATGACTCCCCTATTATACGCCTCATGAAGACAATGAGTCTGTTGGCCTTGGGTCCCGATGCAGGTCCGCAGCCAAGATGGGAGGACCAAGTGAATGACAATGTGAGAAGTCTTTTAGACGATGTATCACGGGGTGGTATCAGGCTTGAGGAATATGGGCGCGCGGAATTCTCGCTATTTATGAACAACGATCTCCCGCACGAGGAGGTGCCGTGCTGTCATGGGTTACAACCATGAAGTGGTAGGGGGCCCATATCTAGTTTCATTGCAGTACGGGCCGAGGCCGGAAGACTGGAAGGTTTTTTTTTTTTTGGGACAATCTAGTGGAAGAATTTTGCGAAATGTTGGAGAGGCAGTCGTTCAACATGCCCGGTGCGTGGGTAGACTAGCATACGCCCAGATACCTAGGTAGATATCGTTGGCTAGAACTAGCTGGAGGGGTCGGTGGCTGCACACGTGCTGATGTAGGACTGTAATTCTCAAACCTTGTTCCACGACTCCTTTGGGTACATTGTACGGGCATCAAAATCAACCGCAAGCTCAGACCCAAGCTCACGGCACTCTCCTAGCCAACAAAACGTTGCGCTGAGAAACAACCGCTGCACACATCATGTGAAAAAGGTCAAAATTCATCCGCGGGACCGTTACTCATACCATGAGGCCTGGTTCTAGACGTCTCGGTCTTGTTTACTATCCTTGGATCCAGGCCAAGCAGCCATCCATCATCAAACATTTTCAAATTCGGTAGAGCGCAAGGCAGAAATGAAAAAAATTTTCCCTCCAAAAAAAGAATCCCCTCAACCTCGACTTTTTGCGAAAATGCCCGACGATTCCGGTCCTGCATGTCAATGGAATCCCTGTTGGCAGCTCGAGTGCTAGTTTTTCGCAAGAATCCCCACTGCAGGTTTTCCCCATAGACTCGGGCGCCACTAAGCGTCTGATTGAATGATTGAACAGACGAGTGCATACATACTTCTATACTTGGCATCCCCCCCTTCCTCTCATCCTTCTCGAAAGGCCTCTACGCAATTGTTAGCCCGCCACGAGCAAAATAGTAGCCCCATGTACAACCCCAACCCTAGTATAGTAGTGGTGATTATCTATTTGACAAAAATAAATCCGTTTCAGAAGCCTGGTCTGGCGGACAAGGGCCCGATCATCATCCACATCTGCTCCACAGCGGCCTTTCAGGGGAGACATCGCTGGAGGGGGCGAGAAAGGGGCAGATGCTGAGGAGCCAAAGCCAAAATTTGTACATACACCCCACTGAAAACCCACCGAAAGGGCCAGGTGCTCATGGGCCCCGACGAACAACAATTGAGCCTGAAGAGACTAAAGCTGGGGGAAATGGCGGTCGCACCTTCCCAAAAAGCAAAGGGCACTGGCAACCAGGTGCGCAAGCGCCAGCCGCCTGCCACTCCTTTTTTAATCAAGTCAACGGGGAATACCATGTGCCCTGTGCTGCATCATTTGTTCTTGTCTGAAAAGTGGTGCCGATTTTGTTTTGGCCCAGATGCACCCCTCCCTTCCCACCCCCAGGTTCCGCTGACGAGAAAGTCGAGAGGCGATAATTTCCATGTACCAACGCCAAGCCTACCCGCACGCGTGTGCCAAGTGTGTCGTTCCTCGTCACCCCACACAGATGGCGACATCTTGAAGACGATATTGCAACCTGGTTTGGCCGTTCAGTGCAACTCGGGCAAGTCGAACAGTGGTTCTTTGGGCTTAATTAAAAGTATTCGAGAGCCTTTTTTTTTTTTTTTTTTTTTTTTTT